CCAAGCACCCTAACACTCGAAAATAAACCCAGCTGTGAAAATTCTTGCAGTCAAATGGTCTTTTTGTTGTGTATGACGGTAATACTATCTAATCAGCTTCTTTCTTCCAGATGTCTCCAAATAATCCCTTATCAAGGACAAAGCATCAAAACTGAAACTGAAAAATGGGCGGACAAATTCCTCTGACTCATTTCTCACAGAAGTTTGAGGCTTTTTTATCTTCTTTTATCCTGCAGCAGTGAATTTACATACAAGCAGAGCACCTATGACAACCTTGACATGCCCTTCGCAACAAGACTGTGTGAGCACAAGACAATGAGGAATCCAAAAGCCTCTGCTAAGGAAAAACATGATACAACTACTAACTAAATGAAAGAATGACAGGCTTTTTCTTAAATTCAAAGTTCTGTAATTGTTTATTTCAACATATCGACATTTGAGATGCACTAAAATCAGATATATATGACTATAAATGAAATTAGACAACACAAAAATTTACATTATGAGAATTCAAAGATCCATAAATCATTTTGTGACCAGGGATGGGATGAGACATAATTTCCACAAGATAACAATTAACAACTAATATTTATTTGAATTCATATTTTTTCCATTGTGGTACTGCATTTTTGGAACTGTAACTCACCAACCAGTAATCCTTTTTTGTCCAATGCAAATAGAAACTTTTTTTTTGTCTTGTGTGCACCATCTTGTGGCAATTTTGGCTCACGAGCTCTTGTCCCATCTGTCTTAGTGACCTAAACCTAAAGCATGCACAACAGGTAATTCCTCGAGCTATAAGGTAGTCCTGACCATACCTAGTTCAAGATCTGGAGATGGTTTCTTGCACACTGCACTTGTCCTTCTCCTGACAGGTTGCCCCAATGGAACTGAAGGATGGATCCAATGCAAAGGATTAATTTCACTATAAGGACAATAAACTGTATCTTACCATTGATTTCAAATACCTTGGTATAGTTTTGACATTTGCAAGTCAAGGTATTCTGTTTAAGTTTATGTTTTATATAATGCCACTACATTTGGTGTTGCTTTTCCCTATTTCATCTTGTAAGTTCTATTAGCCCTGAGCACTCCTGCAGTTTGGTTTTGTTAAACTTTAACAGAACATTTTTCACGCTAGACATTTTGACCTTAAAACTCTGAAGTAGCACAGGTGTAACTAACCGCATTTACTGTGGCACTTTTCGCTAGTAGAACACAATTTTTTATTATTTTTTTTTAACTTAAAGGTCTACTTACTGGGTTTATTTTCACTTAAAAACTCTTATATCATGCAAAAGTGACTCTTGTGAGCTTTAAGCCATACCTGGAGTTGTGTCTTGTTTCATTCACGTTCACAATTGTCATTAAAAGGTGTTTTATTTGAGAGAAGAACTAAGAGAAGCCTAAATATGCAGGTGAATGAAATAAAACACAATTCGAGGTATGTTTGTGATGAGGAAACATCATTATAACACAGAATAAAACAGTGTAATGTGGGCCCTTTAATCTAAATCTCCAAGTCATGGTCAAATAAGGAAATGTCAGTCAATATTTTCCAGTCAGTTATGTCATTCAGCATGGGCAATGTAACAAGTTCTGCCTTCAGAAAATCCTCTTGTAATAACTATATTGAAAAATCAGTCACTTTCCTATCAGTAATGTCACCTCAGCCGCTAAGGGCCACATGTCATGAAGAAATCCATTATGCCTTTGTCTGCTCTGGCTCAATAGGCTTTGAATGGGAGAGCCTGTGTGGAGGTAGATATCTAGACAAATATTGAAGGGGAAAGCCATTTGGAGTTGCAGTGGAGTTAAAATAGAAGCTCATTGTGCCTACATTAGCAGACTTCAGGTCATTATCGGCGGTTTATGTCCGGCCCGGCAATGTCAATTTGAAAAGATAACAAGGAGAGCTGAGAGAAAGGGAGAGGAAGGATGCAGTGTTTTAACATGGGAGGAAATTACCAAACTACCCAAGGATGTCACGATATCAATTTAAGTGCTACGGATATTGTAAGATAACGGCATAATTTTTCCATTATCTAATACAATACCAGGTCTATGAAATCCAACTTTGCACAAATCTCGCATTTTCTGTTCCGATACCAATACTATGGCTTTACCAGTATCATATTGGTGCATTCCTAACATAAACAGTCAATTATAAAAGCAAATTAGAAAGTGCAGATTGAAATATTTCTTTGTTTTTAATAAGACAAAATAAAACTCAAAAAAGCTTTGCGTTTAAACATTCTATAGAGCCACAGAAATCACAAAATCTTCTATTCTAGCTTTTAGACAGGAAACCAATACATACCTGGAGTTGTGTTTAGTATCATTCACACATGGTGAGTTCTTCTCTTAAACAAAAGACATTCCCCCTTGTGATGTCACGTCATAATACAAGGAATGCTCCACTGTGTTTTTAAATTCCACACATCTTCAATAGAATCATTTGGATAATTTCAGCTCTGGAACTGCCAATGTCTACTGAACTAAAGGTGAAAACAAGCTGTTAACTTGAAAACTACCACTAGGTGGAACAGAGCATTTTGAGCTTTGGGAATGTGGACAGAATACTGTATTTTTTGGACTATAACTCACACTTTTTTTCATGGTCTGGGTTGTCCTGCAACTTACATTCCGGTGCGACTTATATATTAAAATTTTCACACTGGCAGCCTCGAGAGGCTCCAGGCTTGTGTGTCAGTATCTCTTGCTCCTATTACTCCTGTACCATTGTCACTTTGATCTACTACATGTCCGCATGTCTCCTGCAGAAAGAGCCTCAACCTGTCTGTATCATTTCAGTCGATCGCACCATTACTTCTGTATTACTGAAAATTAAAAATTTATACAAACTGACAACTGATAAGACCAAACCAAATGCCCCCAAAAAGAAAATAATACTTTGTGGATTACAAGCTGCAAGTAGTGAAACATGCAGCCGAAAATGTAATTGAGCAGCAGAAACAAAGTTTGGAGTGAGCGAGAAACTTGTGAAAACCGGGCAGATGAGCCAGGCAACCTTCCTGTAAGTCACTGGCTGGATTGACAAAGCCCAGACTTTGGTGACAATCGAAACCATCCTTTCGGGATTCAGAAAGGCCAGAATAATTCTAACTGGAACTGATGCTGAGTCTGAGGACAGCTACACAAAAGAGGAAGCGGCACTCCGTTTACCTCCAGAGATAGCAGGGCTGTTCAGAAGTGACACCAAGGATGAAGAATTCAATGGATTTTGTGATTTGGAGTGAGATGGAAAGTTTGGTAAACTTGTTCTCTTCTGTTGTTTATGCTATAGTTATCTGAAGAACTGTTCATATGTGACGTTAATAGCCTGTTGTTCTCTTCTATTGTTATTACTAGAATTTGCCTTTCAAGATTAAATATTGGTTCCTGGTCCTTGATTTTATAAAATAAATTCCCCCCAAAAAGTGCGACTTATAGTCTGGTGTGACTGAGATGTTTTTTTCTTCTTCATTATGCATTTTTTGGTGCTGGTGCGAGTTATACTCCGGAGTGACTTGTAGTCTGAAAAATACAGTAATAACCCAGGGTAACTCAAACATGTGTGGATGAAACAACACACAATCCGGGTATGTTTTTGATGAGGTAACAACATTATAACATGGCTTAAAGCACAAAAAGTTAGTTTTGTGTAATACAGGACCTGTAAATCCTGTATGAACAATCTCTGAGTAGTAGTAGTAGTGGATATAGTAGATACTGATTTATACTGTAAGTCTCTCAAGTAACTACAGTACAGCTTCTAGCTTTGCTTCATATGGGAATTTTCAGCACTATGACGGACTGACAGCGTGTCCAGAATCCAAAGCAGAAATGAGCAGTGGAGATGTGGGAGAAGTGTCAGAGGCAGAAATTACAGCTGTCATAGAAGATGATGCGCCACAGAACGGAGTGTACAGTGCAGATCGTAGGTGGTCCGAGCTCAGGCCTGGCTTTAGCAGCTCATAATTCAGCGTTTGGTTACAGTGTTTCAGCTGTTTTCCTTTACAAACTGTTAATGACAGTACAGTGTCATCTGCTAACAAGGCATTTGATCTATGTATTTTTAGCACCACTGATTCTTAACTTTTGTGAATGACAAAAGTGAAAGACAAGCTTGCATAAGAAAGCTACTCTAATCTTGTCACGATCATATTATCATGTTGTTCTTTACTAGTTCGACCTAGAAAATAAAAGTAAAAATATTCAGAACAGGTCCACGTTTGTCCTATGTGATTTTGTCCATTTTAAAACTTCAAATTAGTATCTTACATTGCAATTAGAATCTGTCTAGTCAAGTTTTAGATAGTCCTAGCCTGAAGCATTGGTTGTTTAGGTTTTTTTTTCTTTTAAAGCGGGCTAGTAATTTGCTAATTAGAGAGATTAAATTTGCCCCCAAAACTTGGTGATCCTGTTTCTCAATTTAATCTTTGAGTAAGAATAAGACACTATTTTACTATTTTCAAACCTGCTTCGTATTATCTAGTATACTTCATAAGACTCTGGCTTCATCAAACTGTTCTTTCAGATTCAGATATAACAACAAAAATCTGTTTTTCAAGTCTTTTCCTGCCTCTGCAATAAAGTCTCTGAACTACACTAGCACAGGAGTATCCAGCAGCTTTAAGGGAATTAGGGATGCCTGCCCTCTAGTGGATTTGTCAAAAACATACAGTGAGTGACAGCACAAGGTGAGTTCAATAAATCAATATCCGCAATAATGAAAATCTAATATTTCAAATAAAGTGATTTGAAGAGTGCTACATCTTATAAACACATAACAGTTAGATAGAGATAAGACCTCTGTCAGATAAGTGATGCAGCGGTTTCATCATAACTGCACAGTACAATCTCTGCCAGTTAACGTCTCCTTAAAGCTGTTTATATTTCAGCAAAGCCGTCAAAAATGCATGGAAAACATCCTACTTTTTTGTGCATTTGGGATAACAGTCAGCAGCGAGTCAATATTATAGTGAGCTCTGCCTTACCTGGCAACTCTGCGCTGTACATCAGTCAACGCTGTGATGTCTGCTCCCTGCCCTTCATCTCGTGCTCCTTTCTCTCCTCTGCCTCCCGAGCTAAATCCAGACGTCAACAAGTTTGATCAGAATGACACAGGACAAAAAAATATCTTCTTTTTTGACAACCTGTCTTAGGAAATGTCTGTCCCAAGCCATTTAACATTGGCTTGATCTGCAACCCAGCAGTGACCCCGCCCCCCTGCACTCCCCCTCTTTCCCTTCTCAGCAGCATCCTGGGTTCGGGATAGGATAGGTTTCTGGCTTGTCATTGAGGTGACAGGACTACCATAATCACACAGTCAAAAAGCAGCAAGAACTTTAAGACTTGGGACTGGAAATATTCACATTTAATCCTCTTCCTGGTGAGACAGCGGATCTGACAGGCCTTGCAGAAAACCTTGCGCAACAGTGAATTTATAAGATACCACCACTACTATCTAGTCTGATTTATCTTGCCTTCTGACACTGAATCTTGCTCTAAGGCAGAGGCCATCATGTAAAATCAATGCTGACAAGAGATAATACAGACCTCCTTTTTGCACACAACCAAAACCTGATAAGTTTAAAGCCAGTGGGGAAGACGCGTAGACTCACACTTGCCATAACACGTTCTCCAAGTGTTAATATTATGGAGATAGACCATATAATGTTGCAGGCTCATGAATTACAGATTGCAGCTTCAGCTTTTGTACCTCCAGATTTAATAGGCAGCCATATACTTCCCATTTCCCTGTATGTACATCAATAGCTTTTTGCAGTCTGGCTCAAAGCATCATCCAGGCTCCTATAGGGACAGACTGTTAACAGGCGTCAAACAAGCTCCCAGACGCACTGTCCTAACATCATGCAAGCTTTATGTAGGTTAACATTTTTCACTTCAATGGGCCTAGAAACTTCAAAATAGACCTGTGTGATTAATTGTTATCAAAATCAAGATTGTAACTGAAATAGACATCATTATTATCTGCAAATAACAGTAAGTATCATATCTTTATAAGGGGAAAACACAGCTAATCCTGTAGTTTAGAATGCTGCAAACCTAATCTGAAATTCATGTGATTAATTAGTTAAAAGTTTATGTTTTCATATTCTCTCAAATTCTAATGCTTTTGGGTGAATTTAAAATCAGCACTTTGAACTGAAATCTGATTTGAAAATAAAAATCATCACAATAAAATTATAAAGTACAAGAGTCATGCGATGCTATACCATTCACACGCACTTTCAAGTCTAGAGCCAGCACCCAGACAGCAACAGAAGTGCCGCATCAGACACACACAAGAAAGTGATCGTAAAAAAGAGTAGCGTAGTAGTAGCAGCAGCGTGTCTCTTTTTTTTTTTTTCCCAGAAGCCCCAGCAGCATCATCAGTGCATCAGAGAAAGCCACTCAAGTTAGAAATACCTGCAACTACAGAATGGACGAAGTGAGAGTGGACATGCCTGGGAGGAAGGAGGAATTGCCCATTCTCCGCCTGGGTGCACCTGTCTCTCCGTACTACTGCGCCCACACTTTGAAACTGGTCTGCAGCTGCCAATCCTCTTCTTTCTTGTCCATAAGCTTGCCCGGTCTGCCTTTAGTAATTTCAATCCTCACTTTTATTGCTTTTCCGCGTCCATCTTGCAGGCTTGATCCGCTGGTAATGCTTTCTCGTCTGCAGACTGGGATGCTCTGAGCACGCCGGAGTGCAGGGGAGGGAGGGAGAGACGCTCCGAACCAGCTCGCCACAGCCACGGAATCAACTCATGTTTTATGGATGCGCGAGCCCTCCCCAATCAGATTCTCTTAAAGGGACGGCGATGCTGTTTTTGCATGTCTTTGAAGTGTAGGTTTGCTGTTATACGCTCTAGCAGTGTGCAATGATCTGTGAGGATACAGGGAGAGACAGAGGTGATCAGTAATTCGATATCAACATAGATAGGTTTTGACACTTCTTGCAATGAAACTGATGTACGCAGTTAATAGGAAAGAAGTGAAAGCTGACATCAATAGATAGAGAAGAAGATGTTTTTGAATTAATAATGCATACAAGTTTGAATGTGGGTGCCCCGGTCAGATAAGCACTACTCAAGTCGTAGATGAACAAGGGATGGGTGTGTCGTCAACAAAAGATAAACTCAAAGTAAATCTAGGCGGCACCATGGCGACAGGCAGTTGTAATTCAATCCAGAGGTGAAGGACATGAATTAATAAGGCAGGGTGCTTGTGTCCAGGGTCACTGGGGCGATATGTCACACCCAATATGAGACTGGATAATAAGATCAGAGCGGACAGCAGGTCAAAGTGGATATAACAAAGCAAAAAGACTAGACATGGTTAAGGGAGACAGCGCCTAATAATATAGCTATAGGGATTACTTTTTAATATCTGGTCTGGCCCAAGTCTGGAAACTCCCACACACACCAACAGCAGGAACAGTAGTAAAAATAGGATCAGGCAGAAGTAGTAGTGATATATTAGTAGCAATAGCAGTAGTATTAGCAGTAGCAGCCATAGTAACAGTAGCAGTCGTAGCAGTAGCAGTAGTAGCAGTTTTAAGTAGCAGTAGTAGCATTAGTAGTAGTAGCAGCAGCAGCAGCAGTGGTTTTAGTAGCAGTAGTATTAGTAGCAGTAGCAGTACTAGTAGCAGCAGTAGCAGCAGTAGTAGTAGTTTTAGTAGCAGTAGTAGTAGATTTAGTAGCAGCAGCAGTAGTTTTAGTAGCAGTAGTAGTAGTAGCAGCAGCAGCAGCAGCAGCAGTAATAGTAGTAGTACCAACAGCAGCAAAAAAGTAGTAGTCGTACAATAGTGATTTTATTATTTTACTTATTCAACTATCAACAATTCACCTCAGGAAATTGAATAGCTATTTTTACTATTTAAATGTAATCTCTATATACATTTGAAATGAGTTATTGATGAGTTATGATTCTTAGTTTAAGCATTGTCAACATTGTCTCTAAATATTTTCCAATATTTTTGTGACTGAATGACCATTTGAGTGAGAAAGCACAGTATGGGGTGTACCTAATACTGTGGCTACTTATAACCTTACAGTAAATAGACATGTGTAGGGGACATGGGAGATGGATATTGTTGTCAGGTCAGTGCACTGGCCTGTTTTTGCCTCCTGGCTGCTGTTGACTTGTAAATAAAACATAGTGATAAATTAAAGATGGCACTAGAAGGTCCTTTGGAGACCGGGTGCCCAGTGGTGAATCCTCTGCCCTTGAGCAAGTCACCCTCACCCTGGTACATGCACCCAAACTTAGCCACAAGTGCCTAATAGAAAAATATATCAATGTGATGTGTACTCTGAACTTTTCTCTCTTTCTCTCTCCTCTCTCACTCTGTCTGTCTCTCTTTCTCCCTCGTTCTTTTTCTCTCTCTTTTCTATCCCTCTCTCTTCTCCTCTCCCTCTCTCTCTCTCTCGGCATCTTATTGTGAATCATTTACACTCCAGCGTCCTCAGCAACTTTTATAGGTGCAACGATAATTAACACACTAAGTCACAGCTCAGCGAGAGACCGATCACACCCTCCAGAACGAGAAGGCCCAAATGTAATTACACACGTATTCGATGCCGCAGAGAAAGAGAGAGTGGAGAATGCAAACGTGTAAGGCTTTGTCAACAATATTAAAAGGATATTAGTGTTTGATTATTTGGATTTTGCCTGCTATGTCCCCAGAACAGATCCTGGACTTATAGCATCAAACATGAGTCAATATAATTCTACTATAGTTCAGTGTTAAAGGTGTAGTATGTTTATTTGCTTGTTTGTGAATTTATTTATTAGGATCCCCATTAGCAGTACCCGAGGGCCAGCTGGTCTTCATGAAGTCCTTTATTTAAAAACACTTTACAGTTCTAATTTGATAAAGACATGTCTTAAAAATGAGATAAATAGTGTAGTAAATCAATAGTTTGAATTAATTTACATTAAAATTTTTAAATAAGCAGCAGGCATTTCATCCTTACATACCGGTAAGTGCATGATTACATACAAATTATTTCACAAATATGTCACTTTTCTGGTGCCACCTGCTTGTCTTCATGGAGATGTTATTGCTTTGCCTTGAATGTTCCTCATTAAACACATTATACTGCATTTAATCAATTACCTATGTCTTTATTGCTAAAACTACCATGAATTACATGCATTCTTACCTCTCTCCACAGATCTGATCTGTAATTTGGCCTGGTAGTATCACTTGTCTGTCTCCATGGAGATAGATAAGTCTAATGCCATACTGAGAAAAAAAAAAAACTTGCATACATAGTGTTACATATCCTTTAGTATGGTTCAGAAAATAGCCTTAAAACATTTAACAAATATATAGTTTTGGTCACATGTACAATTACAATTGTACAATTTACAACAATTTAAGAAAAACAACTTTTGAGATCAATCACTACAAATACATTATAGGCAGGTTTTGCCATTTAAGTGCAGTCTAACTTTGTTAAGGAGAGAAAAGGCCCTCTAAATGTGACTAATATCACCAAATAATGACCATGCAATGGTAAAACCAAACAAAGAAATATTAATACTACAGATTTCTGCGTTTTTAGATGAAACATAAATGCTTAAGTGCTTGCTAACAATCCAACATCTTTGTATATAACTCAATGAAGCAATAGCCAATATAATTAAGAAAATAAAGGCGTGTTATTGCAAAGAAAACTGAATTACGGCCATGCTCAAAAGAAACAATCAAATTACAGCAAAAATAAGAATTTCTGTGCTTGCATAAAAGAGGAAAAATCAGCACATTAACATTTCAGGCACAGTGATGCACGGACACTATAATGGGACTGAATGACAGGTGGACACTATACAGTCCACTGCAGACAGAAGATAAAGGGGACACGCAGATCTGCAGGTAATTACTGATTCATGGATTTCCTGTTTGAATGTGACAGCAGGAGTCTGGCCCACACTGGCGGAGATATGAGGGAAAAGGCATTGCAAACGAGGAGGACAGAGGAACCCTTCTGACTGACAGAAGAAACATAACAAGATCTATCAGTGCATATATAGGAATTCACTAAAATAC